TTTGTGACCGATCGATAGAGGGATTTAAATGCATACCCTGCAGTAAATAGTTAATATAGATTTTACCTTTCATGTTGGATTTCCTGCAATTTTTGCATTCGCTCGTAATGATCTACGCTACTGGCCGCCATTATGCTATCCACCGTCATTCCCAAAATGCACTAGTGCACGGAAGTGGGGACTCTCAACGGGGCGTACAAACCCGGGGTACAAACTCCTTGAATGTGAAATGGGGGAATAGAAAATGAACGAACAATTCTAAAATGAATTTATTAATTAATTCATAAGAGATTGAATTAATGAAACTAGTATTTCTTGCATAAACATTCTAAAACTTGTTGATGTAAGATGACATTTCGCAACTTTAAAAGTGACCCTGCCCGGAAAGTCAAAAGTCAAAAGGTCAAGCTCAGAAGGAAGTTGTCATAAATGTGTTGTTTTAGCCGGGTGTTTTTGTTTGTACGAGGGAGGGTCTATTTTCACACTGGACGAGTGAAGCAGAGGTACTAAGGACGACTTAATTACCAAAAACAGCTCCAATGTCTGAACATAAAGGTAAGTTTTTTATTATCATTGTATGAAAAGGTTTTTAATATAAGGTCAAAGTATACATAAACGAATAGTGAGCGAAGTTCAGTGAGCTAATTTACGCAAATCAGCAACATTTTATTCACCAAATTAGACATTAATATTAAAGAACTCAAGTCGACCATGAGAAATATTTTGTATCGAAACAGATTTGCGGATAATTTGCGGTAGTAACCACCAAGTTGGAATCGAGGTGATTTTTTTTACACACGCGTGACGTTGTTAACATTTTATTTTATATAGAACTGACTTTTAAAGATGAATATTGAATAGCAGTTACCTCTTCCACCCACTCCTTTTATTTCAAAGTGTAAAAAAAAACTTTCAGGGAGTAGTAATATTAAATATAATTTACTTTTTATGTGTGTGTGATTCTTTAGACTCGCAGCTGCAAGATTCTGAATTGAAACCAGACCAAGAATCATCTTCTCCTGAGAGTACTGAAGAAGCACAAGCAGCTGGTGTAACCAAGGCAACTGATGATACAGAGGATTGGGGTGCTCAAGCTCAAAGTGATTCAGAAAGTAAAAACAATTCTATAAATTATTTATATAAAAACTACTGTAAACACTTTAGATTTTGCTTCTGGCAATTTGATGATAGCAAAATTTCACGACACTGTGTCATAGAACCACAGAAAATTTTTCACTATTACAAAATATCATGACTTTCACTGACTCACGAAACTTTGTTTTTTCAATATTGAAATGGTTTGCAACATCTGTTGACCATGTTTTCACCCATAATTCACAGTAAAGTACCAATTTCTTGATTACAAGTATCTTTAAAAGGTGATGGTCGTTATGCAGCATTGTGTTCTATATGGGACCTATAATGATGTATACATTGAAAGCATGTAAAAATACATTGTTTGTTTACACAAAATTGAAGCATGAGCTGTGCAATGACCATTGCCGTTTTAAATATTCTATGTTCTCATCTGATATTATTGATGGCATGTTGGATCCACTGTGGAAATATTTTATCTTGTTTCAGCAGTTTGAAACCATCACTGTAGAAACTGTTTATAATCAGAATATCAGACTACTTCAAAATACCATTTGTATGATATTTTTTATAACAGTATTAATGTTTAAAATAGGGACAGTTTTGGCTTAATCATTAGAAATGCAGAAGGGTGTGGTGTAGAATTTCTGCGCAAATTATATTTTTATTATGAACTAGATTTTTGATGATGATGATGTTGCTGTACATTTTTGTTTTTGATTTTTGTCTATCATATATGTGTAGACATTTTTTATAAATATTTATGTACTTAAGTTTAAATTTTTTTAATTTGTCTGTGCAGATTTTTTTTCTTTCTTTTCACCAACATTTCTAATAATCAAGCCCAAAAAAGAAATGTCATCTTCTCAAAGGCATGTCACATATTGCCAATTTTTTTTTTCTTTACAGTGAATTTTTTGAAAAGCTTAATTGAAAAAGCTACTAAGTTAACTCTTGGTGAAGAGGAGCCAGAAGTGAAACTAAAAGTACTAGAAGAAGTATCCTTTCAGGGAATTGCACAGTACATTATCCAGAAAAAAGGTTATTAACAATAATAATAAATTTTTAGCCCAGCCAAA